GGTTGGGTTAATTTGCATACTCACTCCTGATTGGCTGGTGGGCATGGCTTGTGGGTATAGTAGAGTGATAATTAGTTTGCATATTACTCTTTTATTAGATAGGATGAGTACTCTAGGTTCTTCATATAAGTGGAATCATGTGATAGATGCCCTTTTGTGTCTGGCTTTTTTCACATAGCATAATATCTTCATTTCATCCATGTTGTAGCATATATCACAACTCTTCCTTTTTATAGCCGAATGATATCTTATGGCATGTATCCATCACATTTAAATTATCATTCATCTGTCCATGAATTCTGGGTTGTTTCTAACTATTGTCTGTTGTGAATAATGCTGCTATGAACAAAGGTGTACAACTATCTGTTCAAATCCCTGCTTTCAATTCTTTTCAGTATTTACCCAGAAGTAGAATTACTGAATCAAATAGTAATTTTTGTTCAATTTCTTGAGGAACTACCATGTCGTTTTTTATAGTGGCTGCACCATTACATATTCCTGTTGGCAATGCACAGAATTTCAGTTTTTTCCCATCCTTGCCAACACATTGTTTTCTGAGTGATTTTTTTTTTTTTTGTAATAACCATCTCAATGGGTGTGAGGTGGTATCTCGTGGTGGTTTTGATTTGCATTTCTCTAATGATTAGTGATGCTGAGCATCTTTTCATGTACTTACTGGCCATTTCTATACCTTCTTGGAAGAAATTTCTATTCAGTTCCTCTGGCTATTTTTTAATGCGATTGTTTTGTTGTTGCTGAGTAATAGTTACTTATATATACTGGATATTAATCACTTATCAGATATATGATTTTCAAATATTTTCATCCATTCTCTGTGTTGTCTTTTTTCTTTGTTAACACTGTCCTTTCATAAATACAATTTTTAAAATTTTGATAAAGTCCAATTTATTTATTTACTAGAGGCCTAGTGGAAAAAATTTTATGTAAGGGTAGCAGCTGCTGGATGAATTAGATGAGATTATTTAGCACAGAGTTTGGCACATAGTAAATATCCCATAATTTTAATATTAATCCTTAATCTTGAGTTCACTAGTGAGGGCAACAGAAATGAAAAAAAGGACACAGATGCAAAGTGGTTTAAATTTGGGATTAGGAAGGCATTACACACAAAAAATCATTGGGACATATAGGAAAAGAGAAGAGGAGTTGAGTGCAAAGTCTCAAGCCTGGTTTGTTAGTTTTTGTCCCCTGAGAGGCAGCAGCTGTGGGATTACACATACAAATATTTATTTGGAAAAAAAAATCCTTGTGAAAAAATCTTTTTTTTCTCTGTGAAGAAATGAAAGTGGGAGGAGCCTGGAAGATTCCTCTGGCAAGAAGGCAGGTCAGGTTATTGTGTAGGAGAAAGAAAAGAAAGATTTAGGTTTGGTACCATCTTTTTTTTTTTTTTTTTTTTTTTTTTCCATCTTTGTGAATTAACCATGGAAGACAACAAACCATCTGAACGGGAAGTTTTGAAACTATGAAAGATTACTAGATAAGAATACTTAGAGAACATTTAAAGAACATTAAAGGACATTACATTTAAAGAACATTACTGTTTAGGATTCACTTAGGAAACTGAACTTAGGAACATTACTGTTTAGGATTCACTTAGGAAACTGAAGCAGAAAACTCCTGACATTCTGCCCCTTTCACACAATTATTTTCAAGCTTTAGTTTGCACAAGAAATCCTTAGGGTGCTTGTTAAAGTTTCAGGTTCCTAGGCTCTGCTCATAAAAAATCTGACTCAGAATGTCTGGAATGGGAACGAGAACTTTGCATTTTAGATAACATCCCAAAGAATTTTGTAGTAGATAGTCTTTGAAAAACATTTCAACATACTGTTTTAAAGGTCTCAAATAACTCTACACAACATCTGTAGACAAAAATAGGCCTAGGATAGTAAGTTTTTTTTCTAGAATATCTGTAAATCTCATGCAAAAGTCAAAGGAACACAAACTCTTCAGATTCAGTGATGATAGAAGTAAAGACCCCTCTAACCTAAAGAGCCCTCCAATTGCCCATAAAGATCATCAAGGATGAATATCTGAAATGACCAACCCATTACTTTCACAAGAGGAAAGTAGGAGGCTGCCCTTTAACTCTGCCACCTGGTCTTTTGGAAGCTCCAATCGCTTTCCTAAAATGTGATCTTTCTCCATGAGCCCTGGACCTATGAGATGACAACCTATCACTTCCCACTGCACCATCTCTCTGCTAGGTCCCCTCGGGCATCCCTGCTTTCCTGGAGGGAATGCTGTGGACAAAACAAAGGTGTTAGTGGTGACTATTTGGGATGGAATCATCTACTTCTGAAGGAATTACACATGCCCCTCTCAGGATGGTTGGAGAGCACATGCTTGTTTCAGGTTAGAAAAGTGAGTTGGGGGCTCACAGATTGCCTAACCAGCAACATTTCCACAACCTATGTCAGTGCGCCTTTTGCACTGTCCTTCTTAAATGGAAACTCTTTTTTCGTGGTATAGGAGCTGGCAGAACTTTTTGCTCTATCCTGAACAGGAAAAAATTGTCTTGCACAAGACAGCTTTAGGTTTATTTGGGGAGTTAAGCCTCAGGAAGAGATCTATTTTAAAATTTTCTTTTAATTCAACCCTAGTAGTAGTGAAAGGAAGCAGGGTGGACAATATCTTTAGTTCCCCTGCAGCTCTCATTTTGAAGCATGTTGAAAACATCTCCAGAGCCATCTTTTTTCTTTCTTTCTTTATTGATGAAGGTATTACATATGAGTCATTATCCCTCCCACTCTCCCCTCTCCCGCTCATGCCCTCATCCCCGTGGTCCATTGCTTAGGCTTATATGAATGCAGAGAAGTCTTTTGGTTGATCTCTCCCATTTACCCACACCCTCTCTTACCTTACCTTCTTTCAGCATCTGATTGATACTTCTCTGTGTCTATTTGTTTTTGTTCATTAGTTTATGTTATGCCTTATAGTCTACAAAAGAGTGAATATAAGGACTGTGATGGTCATCTTTCTCTGACTGACTTATTTCACTTAGAATAATGCACCTGAGGACCATCCATGCTGTTGCAAATGATAGGAATTCCTTCCTTTTAACAGCAGTGTAGTATTCCATTGTGTAGATGTACCACAGTTTTTTAATCCACTCATCTGCTGATGGGCACTTAGGCTGTTTCCAAATCCTAGCTATTGTAAATTGTGCTGCTATGAACATAGGGGTGCACAGGAGTGGTATATCCTTTCTGATTGGTGTTTCTAGTTTCTTGGGATATATTCTTAGAAGTGGGATCACTGAGTCAAATGAAAGTTCCATTTTTAGTTTTTTGAAGAATACTGTTTTCCACTGTGTCTGCACCAGTCTGCATTCCCACCAGCAGTGCACAAGGCTTCCTTTTTCTCCTAATACTTTCCAGCACTTGCTTTTTGTTGATTTATTGATGATAGCCATTCTAACAGGTGTGAGATGGTACCTCATTGTCGTTTTGTTTTGCATCTCTCAGATGATTAGTGACTCTGAGCATGTTTTCATATGTCTCTTGGCCTACCTATGTCCTCTTTTGAAAAGTTCCTATTTAGGTTCATTTCTTGATTGGGTTGCTTATCTTCCTTTTGTTAAGTTGTATGAGTTCCCTGTAAATGTTGGAGATTAAACCCTTATTGAAAATAACATTGTTAAATGTGTTCTCCCATGCAGTGAGCTTTCTTGTTTTTTTTGTTGATGGTTTATTTTGCTGTGCAGAAGCTTTTGATTTTGATGTATTTCCATTTATTTATTTTCTCTTTAGTTTCTATTGCCATGGAGCAATATCAGTAAAGATATTGCTTTTAATGTATTTGAATTTTTGCTCCCTGTGGATTCCTCTAAGATCATTATGGTTTCCCATCTTACATTTAAGTCCTTTATTCATTTTGAGTTTATTTTTGTGTATGGTATAAGTTGGTGATCTAGTTTCATTTTTTATTTATGCATGAATCTATCCAATTTTCCCAACACCATTTATTGTCTTCAATACTGTCTTAACACCTTTGTCAAATATCAATTGAGCATAGTAGTTTGGGTCAATTTCTGGGTTACCAATTCCATTCCATTGATTTATAAGTCTGTTCTTGTTCCAGTACCAGAACGTTTTGGGAAAGTAGCTTTGTAATACACTTGATATCTGGTAATGAGATCTCACCTACTATGTTCTTCTTTTTTAGGATTGCTACAGCTATTCTTACCATCTTTTTTTAAATGTTGTGGTGGTGGTTATTGGTGGTAGTGGTGGGGTGTGTGTGTGTTTAATTTTAGAGAGAGGATGGGAGAAGGAGAGAGAGAGAATTAAAGATCAGCTGCCCCTTGCACACCCCCAATGGGATCCAATCAGGAACACTGGAATGTGCCCTGACTGGGAATCAAACCAGTGACCTTTTGGTGCAGGAAACGATGCTCCAGCCACTGAGCAACACCTGCCAGGGTTACAGTGCCTTCTAAGAGAGTATCTGCAAGGCTGATAGGGAGTCCTTGAGCTAAAGTTTCCCCCAAGATGAAAACCATTGCTCACAGCATTAGGCTTATTTCAGGTCCCTGCTAGGAGCCTGTGGGACTTCTGTGCAAAACAGGTGGTTCATTCACCTCCTTTCATCAGTTAAGTCTCCACTAAGGAGACCTAACTGGCACATATTTATAGTGGCCACACCTGGTATAGAAAAACATGCAACCATGCAAGGTGGGAAGTTATAACTTGCAAAAATGGCCATCAGCTTTCTTCACATTTCTACAGCTCCAAACATATCTCTGTAAGGAAAATCCAGGATGAAATTGTGGCAAGTTTGGGCACCAACCTAGAAATGCAGTGATATAAAGAATTATAAGGATATAGTGAGCTATTTACTTCACAGAAACCCTCCCAGGGGAAACTCCTTCCTTGCAGGAACAAGTAGAGACTATTTCATGTTTTCACTTGTTTCCCAGGGCACCCCCACTGTAGAATAATGTCCCCTCCACTCATCATTCTCTTTTCTATCCATGACAGATGATCCAACACTACCAAGTCCTGGCCTCTTGGATGGGGCTATTGTTGGCATCGTGATTGGCATCCTGGCTGGCGTAGCTCTGATAGCAGCCCTGGTGTGCTTCCTGTATATCAGAAAGACTAGAGGGTATGATGGCCTTCCCGCTTCCTTCAAGACTGACATCCATGTTTGGGAGAGGGAAGGAGATTTCCCCTCTGTCTCTGGGTCTTGATCTGCTCCTCTTGCTTCCTAAACCTCTGTTTCTCAGCAGTGATTTCTGAAGATTCATGGTTATTCCCATCTCCATCTGGTTTAGAGCGGGCAGGTATGATTATGTTCCTTTGTCCTAGATTCAGAGAAACCAAGGTCCAAGAAAGAAAACAAAACCGTAAATGAAGAGAGGAGCAGGAGAGAGTTGTGTGCTCTGTCAACCATAAAAAGAGGAGAAGAGAGGGGCAGAACAGGAAGAGAACCTTAAAAATACATGAAACCAGTCTGGCCTCTGTGGTTCAGTGGTTGAACATTGACCCTTGAACCAGGAGGTCACAGTTCAATTCGCAGTCAGGGCACATGCAAGGATTTTAGGCTCAATTGCCAAAATAGCACTTGCAGGAAGCAGCTGATGGATGTTTCTCTCATTATTTATGTTTTTATGTCTTCTCCTTTTCACTCTCTAAAATCTACAAATTTATATATATATTTAAAGCTGAAACTAAAGGCCTTTTGGATAATAAATGAAGAATGAAAACAGAATCAACAAAGTCAGAAGGTGCCCAGGTAGAAATAGGCTCAGAAGCAACTGATAAAGAAGCGACTTTTGTGCCCTGGCCAGGTGGCTCCATTGGTTGGAACATGGTTCCATAGAAAGGTTGCAGGCTACCTTCTTAGTCAGGACACAAACATACGTTGAGGGTTCTAACACCTGATGGGTTTCTCCCCCACCCCTCTCTCTCTTTCCCTCTCTGTCTCCTCTTTTCCCCCTTCCTCTTTCTGAAATTAATAAATATTAGATGAAGATTTTAAAAAATGGGATGGACCTGTGTGAACATTATTGCAGCAACAAAGGAGAACACACTGGATGGGGCGGTGGGTACATTGAAGAGGAGCCCTAGGAGGAAAGGAAATAATGATTCTAGTATAAATGAGCTGAAAGTGTCCTTCCTACTTCAAAGACCAAAGTACCTATGCTTGGGGATAGCAGTCACAGTCTCTGATATTTGTTTAGGGTGGTGGTGGGCAAACTCATTAGTCAACAGAGCCAAATATCAGCAGTACAATGATTTAAATTTCTTTTGAGAGCCACATTTTTTAAACTTAAACTATATAGGTAGGTACAGTGTTATTAACTTAATTAGGGTACTCCTAAGCTGGCCTTTGCTAAAAACTCAAGGGGCCGAAGAGCCGCATGTGGGTCTTGAGCTGCCATTTTTTGACCACTGGTTTAGGGCAAGCAACTAGCGTGATCACACAGAGCACAAACCCTCAGCCTCCAACCACAGTAAATAAAACCATCACCAGTGACAGCTGGTGTGTTCCACCACGCACCTTGCCCTAGCAGGGAAACCTGGTCCCAAAGACTCAGTGCCTTCTGAACTTTTAGAGGGGATGTCCATTACCCAACCTGAGGTTGCCATAGGTCCTCCCACCCTTCTAGTCACAAAACATTCCCCTGAGACCCAGCCCTGCGAGAGACTCACTCAGTCAGACCTGGCAGGCCTGAGTAGATGGCCAAGTTTTCCAAAGCCATTCTTCACCTTACCCCTTTCCCTCCTCCTCTATTAGGGATGTGGGCACTCTCCTTTGGTGAGACTTTCCCTGTCTTGTGGGGCTCTGGGTCCTCTGGGTGCTGCCCCTCCTTGCCACTCATGCCCATTGCTGAGAAACACAACTGGGCAAAAACAATGCCTTGTGAGCTGGAAAACAGATTCAGAAGTGAACTGATGCCTCCCTGTCACTAATCCTGCCCCCCTCACCCCTTAACCCCACCCCCTCTTGCTGGTACTAATACTGCTATCCCCAAGCATGGGTCTGGACCACAGACTCTGAGAGAACAATTTCCTTAAGTTATCAAGGACCACATCCCACCTTCCTCCCATCACCTGCCACCTCTTTTAGCTAGAAATCACAACAATTTATGAACACTAAACCTTTAAAGCTCTAAGTCAGCTTAGCATTTTCATGGATTGCTAATTCTTCTTTCAACTCCAGGTGAGGGCCACTCTGACAGCTCACCTGACAAAGTAAACACAGCCAGGTTCACTGGCTCATTTTCTCATGGACATACCTCTATAGAGAATGGGATACTCTTGAAGACAGAAGTGTGATCAAGTTTGAATTAAGGTTCCTCAATGTAGCAACGAAGTACAATGTATTGGTTAACTACTCCTATGGGTATACCTCATGCAAGAATGTGGGCTCTGGAGTTAGACCCATCCTGTGTTTGCATTCTGGCAGTGACTCTTAGTTCCTCTGTGACCTTGGGCAGGTAACTTAATCTCTCTGATCCTCACCCTGTCATCTGTACACACGAAATGCTGCATACTTCAGAGAGCAGCTGAAGGAATGAAATGAGATAACACATGAAAAGTACCAGCACTATGCCCAACATAAGGAAGGCACTGGATCATTCTTCCTCCTCTACCTTCAGTCTGATCCTGTTCTCACTGTCAAGGAATAATGTCCATTCCAATGGGTCTGAGGTCTTAGTTCCTTCACTTTGCAATAACTTTACTGAGCTTCTTTCATTTAGCCTATCAGTAGAGCACACAGAAATGTTGAAAAATGCTTAAAGCATATGTATATGTTAACCATGTATAAGTGATGAATTGAGCATACCCTTGTAAGCAGCACTGAAATGAAGAAACAAAACATGTCATCTTCCTGCAAAGTAAAATCTTCCAGTCATTTCCCTCCAAAGAGTAACCATATCCTGACCTCCAATGCACTAGATTATTTTTGCCTGTTAATGCTCTTACATTAAAAAACACAGTATGCCCTTTTATGTGTGTTGTTTCTTTCATTCAAAATGGTTTCATGAGACTTATCCATACTGTTGTAGCCATTTGTAGTTGTTCATTCTCATTGCTGTATCCTCTTTCATTGTATGGATATTATAATCTATCTTCTTATGGTCATTCAAACGATGTCAGCAAGCAGAGAAAATGGAAAATAAAAATCCTCTAAAGCTAGAAGTTTCCAAGTGGTAAGAGCAGATGCTGCCTAATCATAGGAGGCAAGGTGAGGGCCTGACCTGGAATACTGATTTAATTGATCACTTCTCATCCCTTGCAGGTCTAAGAAGTTACATATTCTTTGCTGAACTTCAGTGGCTAGGAATCAAAGAAACCAATGTCAGCCTCCCCATCCCCAACGCCACAGAACCAGTTTATTTAAAAGTAAAAAAAGAAGTAATGCAATCAGCCCTGCTCACCACACTGCTGACTGATTTCAAGTCTCATCTCCATCACTAGGAGACTCCTTTGTCCTCAGGGAAACATCAGGTAGAGGGAGTGGAGTTTACCAGGCTAATTGAGCTTCAGATTTGGAAGAAGGCATCTACTTGCCTGCTGTGTAGTAGATGGGTTCAACCCATAAGGACAACTGTAGCTGTCCCTACAGCCCTCACCTTGAAGACACAGAACTCAGTTTCTTCCTATATGTCTCTGGCATCCCCCCACCTCCACACCTTCACTGTAGCCCAGTGTGAATGCCTACAAGTGACTGAGTCTGTGCACAGACCCTTTAAGAGAACTTTTGGATTTCTGGCAGCCTACTGTTTCACTTAGCCAGACAGAATCCCCACTGATTTGCACAGTTAGATATTGTGGATGCTCCTCTTTCTGGCACTGGTGCTTCTGACTGGTGAGCCCCATGTGGAGCTCAGAACCCTCACTACTCCAGGGTGACCTCTGCAGCTAATATATCCCTCCCAATTGTCTATCAGCTCACATGCGTGGGGCCAGCACATTTTGTGTCTCTACCCCTCCTACCAATGTCAACATGGGTTCTTCTTTATGTTCTTCGTTATAGGATTTCTGTTCAGTCATTCTTCAGGTGGTCCTCTAGGTGGATTTTTCTATAATTTAGTTGTCCTTGTGATGTGGTCATGGGAGGAGGTGAGCACAGTGTTTACCAACTCCACCATCTTGGTCAGAATCATCACTCTCCCACTCTAATATCCTATTTCTTTGGTGAAGTGGTATGTTTTGGGGGTTCATTAAGTCACTCCTTATCCAATATTTATATTACAAATAATCATTTATACATAGGAAATATGTGCCATCTCTGATATCATGATTGGTGCCATCCATTTGGAACAACTAAGGATACCACTACCGTGGACTTTCCAATTCCTTTAGAACGTTAATGATGTCCTCAGCAACTTGGCTAGTGAGATTAAGGGAAATATGCTTTGTCCCATCAAGGCCTCAGCTCAGCTCTCTAAAATTTTCAATTAGAACAACTGGTCAGAGGCACTGAATGTGTGAAGCCCACTAATAAACTTATCCAAAATACCTCCATTTGCTACCTAACAGCCTCTTGCCACAGGCTCCCTGGTCTTCACTCAGACCTAGTGCACTTACCATGACCTTCTTTGGCCTCTCATCCCCCTTCCAAAACCTGTCCATAGTAATTAAAGACTCTATGCCAGTGCCACTTCTGAGGCCAATTGTAGGCACCTGTGCTTCAGATATCACCCAATCTATTAACAAAGGGTGCTCTGGGTCCCAAAGTAGGTAAGCCTGTTTTTTCACCTTAAAATGGAATTAAAGAAGTGATAATATCTATTTAATACAGTTATAGTCAGGGAGATTCAGGTAAAGCACAGAAAATATTTAACCTGAAGTAAAAGCACCCTTGATGTCGGTATAAGACAGTGGACTGAATTAAACTGAGATCACACATAAACATGGTCCAGTTCAGAGATGCTTCCTTTCCTATTCTCCATGACAACGTACCCATGTGCACATGTGCACCCAATTTGAAGGCATCAAATAGCAATATTGTTCTACAATTTCGTTGTATCTTCTGCTGCCTCTTTTATGGCCAGAGAGAAATTACACTAAAATTTTTCCTCTTTCTTCCTTATTTACCAATTTAGTAAAGGAAACAACTACTGAACAGGGGAAAGTATCTCAATTCTTCAA